TAGTCTGGGTCCTCCGGAGGACCCGCCCTGTCGTTTTGGACACAGCGATTGTCCAAGATTAACCTTCAGGGTGGATATAGCTCGCTAGCAGCCTCGCACCGAGGACCTATCCACGTCATCATTTACCCAGAATGCTTTGTGTGCAAATAAAATGACCCCGTCCATGTTAAAAATTATTTTTTTCAAATTATAAAAACTAAACATCATACAGTATTTTTACAGTCTTTATTTTACAGTTAAAATAAATGTTTATTAAATAAAGTCTAATGTTACAACTAATCGTGGATCCCTTTAAAATGCTATTTTTATGTTTAAATAGAAAATAAACTTGTCTTTTCATCATATCTGTTTGTAAACACCTTGAAATTGCTGTGTGTCTTTAAGAACCTCCTGATCACATTTCAACACGTCATCACTTCTCTGTTGTTTACAAGCTGCAGCGTCGCAGCATGGCTTGGTTATAATAACTTAAAAACCAGCAACATTATACAAGATCGGACTTGTGCCCATTAGCTTAGTCAAAGCCAGGGAGCAGTTATTTTTGGCCAGATGGTGTAACATCCTTTTTTTAGAGTTAGTTTGACCTTTGACATCTTTGAACTGGCCACTCACTAAAATCTATAATAAATAAATAATAAATAATAATAAATCTATAAGACTTTAATGTGCAAAAAAATCAAGATACAATAAAATTGAACTGGTTAAAAGGTGAATTAAAATACTAAAATGAAGTGTAGTATTTTTAACATAAGCTCAGCTTGTTTTTTCAGGAAACACCTGGCAGTTCTGTTTTAACAAGCTTTTATTATGGACTTGATGCAGGTTAATTATCTGTTTCCATGGTGAACCCCAGTAAAAACAGCTCCAGTGATTATAACTCTGTTTTAGTCATTATTGACAGAAGTGCTCATTTCAGACTGAACCTAATCAGTGGTTCTGATCCATCTCAACCCTCAGAGGTTTTAAACATTAAACTCTTCACAGACAACAGTCCTGGATCACAACAAAACAAGAACTTCTTCTGCAGATTTAAAAAAAATGTAACAAACAGAATAAAAGCTGTGGATCAAACATGAATAGTGTGATTTTAGTGTTGTCAGCATTACATCATGTGGTGAAGTCAAAACTCAACAAAAACTGCAAACATCCACCTAAATGTTTTGGTTCAGCTCACAACTCAAAGTTTAAACAAGTCACAACAACTTCACATGACTGAAGTTGAAATTTAATGTATTTACCTGTTTTAAACAACTGCAGTTGTGTTTATCTAACTGTTGGAAGAGGAAAAACACAGCTCCATGTTGCATGAGTCTGTGGTRTGTAGATAAACTGGACCCTCGACCCGCGGATGAGCTAACCTGATCCTCTCTGCTCCAACAGAATGAAGTAACTACCTGTGAGTCTGTGAGTCAGGTGTGTTGGAGCAGAGGAACAAGTAGGACCTGCAGGATGGTGGACTTGAAGGATCAGGGTTTCCCAGTCCTGGGTCAGACCAAGGCCGGAGTCATTAGTGGACCTACGTGACTGCAGCAGCTCAGACATCCAGTTAAATAAAAACACAAAAGAAACTGCAGTGTGCACAAGAAGACTTTATGAAAAGTTGACTACAAAAAAAACTATGTATGTATGTATTTATGTAAGTAAGTATGTATGTACGTATGTATGTATGTATTTATTTTTATTTATTTTCAATGTTGGCCTCT